GGGGTGGAAGGGACCCAGAGGCCAGGCTGAGATGGCGAGGACAGAAGGGGTGGAAGGGACCCAGAGGCCAGGCTGAGATGGCGAGGACAGAGGGGGTGGAAGGGACCCAGAGGCCAGGCTGAGATGGCGAGGACAGAGGGGGTGGAAGGGACCCAGAGGCCAGGCTGAGATGGTGAGGACAGAAGGGGTGGAAGGGACCCAGAGGCCAGGCTGAGATGGCGAGGACAGAGGGGGTGGAAGCAGCAATGCAAGCTCCAGGGGACAGTGGCCCAGCAAAGCTCCCGCAAGAGGCCTGGGTGGGCCAGCTGTCCCCTGGCTGTGGTCCTTGGACAAGCCCTTGATAGCTCAAGGGTTTCCCGTCAGTCCTAGGAGGACTTTCAGGAGGCCCAGAGGCCCCCAGGACTTGCCCTGCAGGCAGGACTTCTCCGTGCAGTGGAAGGTGGGCCTTTGTGTTCAGTTCCCGACCCACCACTGAATYGACTGTGGCTTTGGGCAAGCCAGAAACGAACCTCCTGGCCTTCAAAGGGCTCTCTGCACACGAGAACAGCACTGTCTCCTTCCAGGTTGGCAGCAGGGGCCCACTGAGCCCATGGACATGTGTGTCATGACACAGCAAGGCCCCTCCCTCTGCCTGACCACGCTCCGTGACATCGCCCTTGGACTGATGTCTCCTAGGCCAGTGATTTCCAATTATGCATAAGATCCACATGACCTGGACACTGGGTAGGGCAGATCTAAGTCTATGATGCTGAATACTGGGGTAAAAAGCGTCACATTTTCCTTATAATACACAGATGGTATTGAACCTGCTAGTTATACAGAAAATATAGTCATAAGAAATCACGACACCAAGAAATTACTGTAAAGGTGAAATTACACTTCTGTACATTTTAGTTCCACTATTCTGCGTGAGGTGTGACACAGACGTYCCCTCTCACCCCTGGTTTCACTTTCTGAGGTCAAATGCAGTCTGGAAATATTGAAAAAAAAATCAGAAATAAGCAATTCACACTTTTGAGTAGCATGGTGAAATGGCATGCTGCTGCCCTCCATCCAGCCTGAAGTGAACCGCCCTGTGTCCACTGTGTCCATGCCGTATATACTACCTGCCCAGTAGTCACCGGGTAGCAGCCAACGCCAATTGTCACAGCATCTCATTAAGTATGTTAAGGTAACCCCTCRTTTAACTTAACAATGGCCCCAAGGCACAAGAACAGTGAGGCTGGCAATTGGTACATGCTAATAGAACCCGCAAAATGCTTCCTTCAAGTAARAAGTGAAAGTTCTTGACTTAGAAGGAAAAAAAAAAGCCCCCCCATGCTGAGAGAGCTTGTGTGGCTTTGTCATCACACCTCGACCTGCAGAAGCCATGACCACCGGGTGTCATGCTCCGTGAGGTGGAAAGGGTTAAATGGCACGAGCGGCCACGGGAGGACTGGACACCGCGCACTCCTGCCTGAGGGTCTCAGGGGCCCTGCTTCTCCTCGGGGTGGACAGAGGCATCCCCACCTGCAGCAGGCCAGAGCCTGAGCCACAGGGCAGCGCTGGCTGTCACGCTGTGCCACACCCTGTGCCTCCCCCACTCCACAGACCTGCCAACGCCCCCACCAGCCCCACCCAGGACCACAGGTGGCTAGGACCGCCAGGCAACAGCCAACTCTAGGTCACGCTCTGGGTGCTGCTCTGTGGGAGGAAACGGCTGTTTAAATAAGATCGATTGGGTCCAGAAACTGTTTAATAAGTGTCACTTTGAAGCATGTGGAGTGAATATAGGTCCAGTTATGATGGAAAGTGCCGCAGGGGCCCAGAACCTCAGCACCCTGCCACCGGCATGAAGACTGACCGCATCTCAGGACCTTGGCTCCCGGGTCACGGGACAGTCACCGCCATCTGGGGCAGTCCAAACGCCCGGCCGCGGTGAGACTCAATGTTCAGTGAACTGGTGATTCCACCGTGTGGACGTGGGCAGGTGAGACGGGCTCAGCGCCGGCTCTCTCTCAGAGAAGGAGGAGGCGACGTTAAGTGCTACCTTGGGTGTTCGGCCTCCCCTTTCCATTTCCTCAGCTCCTGAGCTTCTGCCAGCCACAGAAGGCTCTCTAAGGTTCCACAGACACACACAGGTGTGAAGCTGCACCTGGACAAGGGCATCAGCACAGGGCCAGCTTTGGAAACACACTGCTCTCGCCCGCGCGTAGCCTGGGAGTTCCCCGGCCTTCAGGCCTGCTAAGGAGCTTCCCGGTCACAAGAGCCATGTTCCATTTTCAACCCCAAGAAACCCGCCTCTTCCTTCAGAAGCACACCAGGCCCCTGGGAGAGGATCAGTGTGCAGGGCAAGTGGGCTGGAAGTTCCAGGCCACGGTGGTCCTGCACACAGGGTCCCACGGGCTCCTCCGTCTCCGGCTGCTGCACTATCTGTCCTTGGAGCAGTAACTGAAGGAAGCCCCGTTCCTGACGGAGCCGTTCCTGGATGCCCGGGGAGGCCCTCTCTCCATCCCTTCCCGGCTGAAGATGGTGTCCTGCTCGCTGTCAAACTCGGACTCGGACACCATCAGGCTGGAGTTGTGCTCCGTGCTGCGGTGCTTGATGCCTAGGGAGAAGCAGCAGAGGCTCAGGGAGCAGCACCCCTCCTGGGATGAGCCCTGTTCTTCACATTCAGCTCCACTATTCTGGGTGCAGGTCACAGAAGGGGCGTAGATGTGTCCCCTGAACCTTCAGCAGAGCAAGTGGCTTGGGGTTCCCAGTGATCAGCAATAGGAACCTTGCTGTCACACCTGAGCTTTGGCAATTTCCAGCTGTGTGACCCTGGGCAAGGTACCTAGCCTCTCTGGGCTTTCATTCTCCTCATCTCTCAATTGGGTTTCTGGTGAGGATCAAGTGAGATAGTGCTGTGAGTGTCTAGGCCCAGCATTCCACAGAGTGAGCACTCAATGAGAGCTGTCAGGACTACTCTATAGTTCAACAGATTTTGAGTTCTTGGGGTTAACAGAGGAGCAGAACAGGAAGGAGAGTGATCCCTGCTCTCAGAGAAGGAATAGACATAGACAGGTGAGCAGACAGCGCCACAGACGAGAAATAAACACCGACCTCAATCTAGAGGAGGGGCCCCAACTGCTCGGGGGCCTTCCATCTAGCTGGGAGCTGGGCAAGAGGAGGATCTGGCTGGGGAGACAGAGCACGGGCATGGACTACGGGCAGCACCCAGAAAGACTCAGGACCAGACCGTGGCCAACGATTCACACAGGAAATAGCGAGTGGGAGCCGGGGCCTCCCAGAGAAGCACGGAGCCAGGGCAGGACGTGGAGTCCGGCTTCCCCCCGCAGCAGAGGCAGACAGTGGCAAAGGCACAGGCTGCGGGACAGAGGAAAAGGCCCGGGGGACTGCAGACGAGGCTGCCGTGATCTCCACGCTACGTCCCCTCGAAACGCTCTACCCCCAAGGAGAAGGCCCTGAGAGGCAGTGTCTTTGGGAGGTGACAGATGGGGTCACAGTCACAATCAAGGAGGCACTGGAGAGCTCCCCTGGCACCCCCCACCCCCACCCCCCACACACACGGTGCAAGGCTATGGGGAGAGGGTGCCTTCAGGAGGAGCTGGCCCTCACCGGGCACCGAATGTGCTGCCCATGTCCAGACCCAGGAGGAACTGTGGTCTAGGGACATGTGGATGGATGAGAACTACGGGTCAGGTGCGCGGCAAGCACCCAGCACGGTTCAGCCCTTGTCATTACACAGTTCAGAGGTGAGACCGTGAGGATCTGAACGAGGGTGGAGGAGACAGCAGGAGACTGGCAGCTGGAGCTGGGGACCAGGTGAGCTCCAATGACTGAGTCCTGCACCTGGGTAAGAAGGGCCTCAGGAGGACAGAGACACCAGGGGGTGGGCATGTTCCAAGTGGGAAGCGGTGACCTAATGCAGCCAGAGGACCCTGAGCTCTTAGGTGTAGTCACTCTGGAGCACCTCCAACGTCAACTATGTAATGTAAACAGTGGGCACTCAATAAATGCACACTACTCTGAACTTGCAGTGAAGCTCTTGCTGCCAAAGCCTCTGACTACACTCGGTGTACCCAGGCAGTCCTGGCCTCTGTCCTCAGGCTTCCCCAGGCTCCCACAGGACTCCCAGCACTGCAGGGTCTGATGTGCCCTCAGGCTGAGCTCCTGGTAAGGTAGGTGAAGGTTCATCTCCCTCCATCCCAGGGAACCCGGGGACTGTGCAGGGGCAACACTGAGAGTGGGCAGCGTTTGCATTTCTTGACCTTGAAAGTGAGTATGTCCCTGTGTGAGCATGAATTTAGCTGAAAGCCAGCGTCATGGCAGATCCACAGATGCCCGGCTGAGCAGCCGCAGAGGCCAGAGAGGGCACAGGAAGCAGGCCGCAGTTAATACTGAGCTCCCAAAGCCAACTGAGGCGGGCAGGAGAGGCCCACGTGCAGGGCGCCCTGAGCGGAGCTAATGCAGCTGCCGGAGAGTGCGGGCTTGTGAGGTCTACATGTTCTTTTGCTGCATTTCTGGTCTGGCAGGCCAACAGCGACGAGCGTTCACACAGGAGCTGGGGGACACTGTGTCGTGCCTCCTGCCACCACAGGGAACAGAGCCAGGCACTGGGTGCCAAGGAGCCTTGCCCTGGGGTCCCTGGGCAGAGCTGACTGATGACAGACACTTCACGTCCCTCACCATCGAGGCCTAAAGCTCTCTGCCAAGATGGCACTATCTAAGGCCACAGTGCTCCCGTGGCAGGTCCCAGGACCCAGGCGCTGGCTGTCATCGCAGGCTCCATCCGGGTCACTCTTCCTACCTAACTGAGCCATTTCCCTCCCTGGCAAACACCCTGGCGAGGTGGCGCGGGGCCCGGGGACCGCGAGGGCTTCTTACTGTATTTGGGCCTCAGCTCCATTCTCTCCTGTTCGTCCATGTCGTCCAGGATGGTGTACTTCGTTTTCTTCCTTATTTTAGTCCTTTTTTGTCTGAAAGGAACAATGAAAAGCTCAACTCAGATCCGTCACTGGGACCCAGGGTTGGGGACACTGAGGAGCAGACACTGAGGAGGTGTTGGCCTCTGGTGTTAGGAGTTGACACTTCAGCTCCTCACCGTGAGACCAGGGGCAGCTGGAGCCCAGCAGGGCCGGCACGTGCCTCGCAGAAGTCCCCTGCAGAGAGCAGCAGGAGAATGTGCCGGGAGTGGGAGAGCCACCCCCTGGGCCCGTAGCCAAGGCTCTGAGGGACGGAGCCCCGAGAGCAGCCCCCAAACCATGGGTCCAGGGAGCTTCTCCTTACTAAGGAGAGAAGCCTGGTCAGCAAGCTTCCCCCAAAGCATTAGCACCTCGAATGTCAAAGATGCAGGAGTCAAACTGGCAGTCAGAGGAGGAAAAACAGCAGAAATTATACTACAGGACGTTCCCGAGTTTAGTCGTTGCTTTAGCAACAGGTCAGACCTCCACTCTATCACAGCGCCTGACAACCAGGCTGGAAGACGGTTTGAAAACACCTCAAAACCAGGCCAAGGTAGGTAAAGAACAAAGAGGAATCTCAATTTTCTGATCTCGAGGTGAATAAGAGATGGGCCTCTCACCCTAGGCCAGAACCTCCTAGCTCTGGCTTTGAGAATTCTCCTAGACTGCGGTGCCTCCATGTTCTGACCTGTAAAATGGGGACAAGGATGGTCCCTTTCTTCTCTGGTTGCTGGGAGCACTACACGAGATGACACGAGATGACACGGGACAGGCCTTAGCCATGTCACCACCCTCCCCGTCTGCTTGATACCAGGACCCAAAGCTGCGGGCCACAGGCAGCACGGGACCCATCCCAGGTGGCACCAGGAAAACCTGACGGACCTCAGCCTCTCCCTGGGCCTGGGCCTGGCTCTCCCTCGCCATCCTACCATGGGGCCATGAGCACAGGTAAAACTTGAGTAGAAGCGACTTCTGAAAAGAAACTGTTGGTTTTAGTACATCTACTTTTTTTTTTTTTTTTCTACTAAGGATTGAACTCAGGGGCTCTCAAGCAGTGAGTCACCTCCTCAGCACTATTTTGTATTTTATTTAGAGAGAGTTTCACTGAGTTGCTTAGCACCTTGCTAAGTTGATGAGATTTACTTTGAACTTGTGATCCTCCAGTCTCAGCCTCCCCAACCACTGGGATCACGGGCGTGTGCCCGCCTTAGCTCACCTACTCTTTATCACATATTTGGAGCACATTTTTAGAGACTCATAGAAAAATGGACCCGTGCAGGCTCCTAAGGACTAGGTAACCACTTCCCCCTAGTCTCACAGAGGGCCGAGTGCAGGGCTCAGGGAGATTCAGACAACAAGGCAGCCGAGGGGCTTCTGGGCACCCCCTGGAGAGAAGAAAGAAAAACAAATGCAAGGTTCTCTTTGGTGATATTAGGTTAAAAGAGATTCAGGCCCAACTTGGTGGTGCACACCTATAATCCCAGCAACTTGGGAGGCTCAGGCAGGAGGATAGAAAGTTCAAGATCATCAGCCACTTAGCAAGACCCTGTCTCAAGATAAAAAATAAAGAGGGTGGGGATGTGGCTCAGGGGTAAAGCGCCCTGGGTTCAATCTCTAATACCTAAAAATAAAAGGGATTCATATAGATCAGGATGTTGTTTCATGCAATAACAACTGAAGTCTTCTTCTAGAAGTCTGTACCAGTGTTCTTGTAGAACTCTTTTATCCACTGAGACCTCTAAGGCCACCAAGGTTCTGCTCTGGGGAAGTGACCTGAGCTAGTGAGGATAACACTGGATTTGAGGGAGAACTTGGACCCTCTGGAAAGTGAGAGCCTTCAGGAGGAGAAGCAGCCTCCAGTATTAATCCACTTCTGCAGGCTCCTGCACCTTGGGCCAGATGTGTATCAAATTCTTGGACTAGCTTGTCTTCATAAAAGCTACCATCAGACAGGTCCGCAACTTAAGAAACCTCAGCAAGCCCACCACGGCAAGACATGGTGCCCAGGGAGGCACCTTTGGTTCTGCGTGGACAGGCGCACCAGCAAGTACCTGTGACAGCAGCAGATGCACAGCCACGTCACGCCTCCCGCCAGCACTAGGAGAGCGCAAGCCAGCCCCATCACATAGAATATGCTCCACTCTGGAAAACGAGAGAGCCGGGGTAGGAACTGTGGGCTGTTTGCACACAGCACCGCGGGGGATTCGCAGTGATCTCTGAGGCCGYGCAGAGTAGCAAGGCAGAACGTCAGTAATCAACACCTAGGACGGCCCTGTTCCGGCCCATTGGTCCAGGGACTCATGGAACACATACTTCATGCTGACTAGAGAACCGAGTGACCTAAAATGACCAAATCAACCTATTAAGCAGCATAATGTCCCTCCCACACACACTGCGGCCATCAGCCGAGTCCCTCCAGAACCCCAAGATCACGACCCTCCCCCCAAAATGGTCCTGGTGTGGTGTTAATGAAGCCAAGTGCCTGTGGATGAAGACACCTTTGAGCCCCGTCTTCCCTCCTCCTGGGCCCTCGCTCGACAAGGGCTCTGCCCAGCAGTTGAGGACCAGAGGAGCCGCGGGAGCCAAAGCTGAGCTGGGTTAAAGCTCTGGGGTGAAGGTCACACGCTCTCCCTGGAATCGTGGCCCAGGTGGCAGCTCTGCCTGCTTGTGCCATGTGAGGCAGGATGTGATCTGGCTGTCAGCGCTGACCATTCTTTCGGCCCATCATTCCCATCAAAACCACAAATCCACTCCTAGAGGACGACCACTGATCGGATACGGTTTTCTCCCCAGAGTAGATGGAGGGACCCAGCCCTGCCTGCTGAGGCCCTGGCTCCCACTGTGGGTGCCTGCCTGGAGGACAGCCCGGAAGAGTGGGCTGGGTCTCCATCCTGGTCCAGTTCAGGCAGGTCCCCCTGAGCTGGAGCCAAGGGAGGTGCAATCTGGAAACGTGGCCTGTGGCCACAGCAGCCCCTTCTCAGAGCTGCCGGCCAGGGCTGGCAAGCAGCTCTGCCGCAGGACACTCCTCCAGGGGAGGTTGGAGGCATAAGCCAGAAGGCAGCCCTGGGGAGGACTCTGGGATAGGACGGTGGCCCTGCAGCTCCTTGCCAAGGCCACCTCAATGGCAGGACTCACCACAGTTGCTCTCCCCATCGCGGACATAGCGCTGGATCAGGTTCTCCATCCACAGCTGGGAGCAGATGCAGCGCTTGGTGATGGGGTCGCAGCGGCCGTGGCCAGAACACTCCAGAAGGCAGCCTGCAAGGGGCGGGAAGCTGAGGGCCGCAGGGAAGGCCCTGGCTTCCCTGCTCTGCACCCAGCAGCATAGGCCCTGAGCACTTGTATGGGGTTGGACCGAGGACCTGTGACCTCCTCATCAGGAAGCAAATGGCAGAGAAGCCACACCGTACAGCAAACACGTGCCACCTCTGGCCCAGGAAAGCGGATTCTGAGAATGCACCCAGTGAGACTGACTGGGATTGTGCACAGAGCTCTTGTGTGAATGTCACAGAGCTCCTTGGATACAATATCTGCCTTGTAACATTATTGAAAATCAATCCTAAAGTCCATGGATACAGGGCGGGTCACATGACTGCAGATCACGCCCAGGGAGGCTCGCCACACAGCCACCAGCATCTCCCTAACGGGAAGCTTAAAGGAGTTAGTTGAGAAAATGACCATATATGAAGTTAAAAGCACAGTTAAAATAAACAATGAGGCTGGGGGTGCCGCTCATGGTGCGGCTCGGGGTAGAGCGCTGCCTAGCATGAGTGAGGCCCAGGTTCAATCCCCAGGTCTCAAAAGAAAGACAGACATCAAATCATCCTGATTGTATTACATGTTCACAGAGATGGAGCAACTGGAGAGAAATAGCAGAATATTATGAGTCATCTCTGAGTGGTGTGAATTCTAGACTTCACCATCTGGAAGATTCTTTCCTCTTCGGTGTCTTCTGGATAGTCCACGTTTCCCACAACTATAAATATTACTTTTGTAGCCAGAAAAAAAGAAGATTTTTTACATCAAGTTACTCTACATTATAATGGAGAAAGTCAATAATAGTTTATTGGAGAATTTGTTGGAAATAAATTTATTGGAAATAAATTTTACTGCCCAAATATTATCGTGTCCCTTGTGACCCTCACAGAAATGACCACTTCAGCATGACGTGCATTCATATTGCTCATGAGATGAAGACAGGACTGTGGACTGTGGACCAGTGGGTGTCCTGGAGGGTGGCCAGCAGGCACTGAGAGCAGGGTCCACATGGGAGGCGCACCGAAGCTGTGTCGCGGGCAGGCCAGTGGCACGTGCCTGCATCCTGACACTTGGGAGACGGAGGCAAGGGGAGAGTGTGAGCCCCGGAGTTTAAGACCAGCCTGGGCAACACAGAGGACCCTCTCTAAAAAAAAAAAAAAAAAAAACAGAGAGACCCTGGCTGTTGTTGCTCTCTATCTCCTTCTAAGACATGGCTGTGGGCAGATGTGTGCTGCAGGAAACACCTTGAGAAGTAAGTGCAGAACAAGTCCCTGGGTGTCCCCACCCACTCCTCTCCCTGTGCCTGCAAGCCATATCGTATCCACCACCGGCGAGTCTGATTCTTTTAGAAGATTCCAGAACACAACCTACTTGCTGTGTCCACCCTCAAGACCTTGAAAAGCAAGAAGTCGGCCTTCTCCCGCGACAGCCGCCTGTGCAGGGCTCGGGCCACGTCGGCGGCTCTGAGGACCTGGGCGGGAGGCCGGCTCTGCACATAGAACAGGAGCGTGGTACTGCAGAGGAGACACGGAGCACAGCCACATGCACATGTCAGGCAGGGCCACGGGGCACGGCCAGCCTGGCCACCAGCCTGTGCTGTCGGGAGCTGGGCGGGAAGGCAGGCTCGCCGGCGGCCAGGAATCGCTTCTCTTCATAAATAACGGCCCTTAGGTCTCCAGGTACAGCTGGGAGAGGCCTCACAGGGGAGCCCGATGCACAGGTGCAAGCAGACACAGCACACGCGAGGAGACCGCGCACGAGGAGCGCCTGCCTTCTCCCCTCCTTTGTTTTTGGTGCTGGATTGAACCCTGGTCCTTGCACATGCTCTACCCCTAAGCTAAACCCCATCCCTCTAAAGCCCAACTGCAATGGCCTCCAGTACATTCACAGACTGGCACCACCATCACCGCTGTCTAAACCAGAACAGCCTCTTCACCCTAAAAGGATGACCCAGACCATCAGCAGATATTTCCCCTCTCCTCCTCCCACACTCTGAAAACCACTGGTCTGCCTTTTCTCTTTATAAGGGATTTGAGGACTCTGGACACTTGGTGTAAATGGACTCACACGATGCAGTAATCCTCTGCGTCTGGCTGTTTACTTAGCACAGTGTTTTCAAAGTTCGCAGCGTTGCAGCATCTGCTGTGCGGCTCGATCGCTGTTTTATCCACTCCTCAGCTGGTGAACGTTCAGGTTTCTCCACTTTTTCTCTACTATGACTAGGTGCTATGCATATTCATACACAGGTTTTTGTCTCTCCTGGGTGTACACCTGTGAGTGGAGTCATCGGGTCGATGGCAGCTCTGATTGGCATCCTTAGGAACACCAGACCTTCCACAGGGCTGTGCCAGGCAGATGTTCCAGGGTACCCACGTCCTTGCCAGCACCTGCCCTGCCCTGGTCGGCCAGTGGGTGCTGAGTGGTGTCAAGGTGGGGATTTAATTTGCATTTCCTTAGTGGCTAATGATGAAGAGCATCTTTTCACGTGCTACTGGGCCACTTGCACATCTTCAGAGAAATAACTATTCAGATCTGTTAGTTTTCCAGGAATGTTGTTTAAAAAAAAAAAGTACAACAAATTTGTCTGTATCTCTTGACCCCTCTGTCCTGTGGCGCTCCCTGTGTACCCGTGTCTCCACTCTTCTCACGAGGACACCAGGCACATGGGTTGAGAGCCACCTATCCTGATACTACCTAATCTTAAATTAACTACATACTTCTGCAACAGCTCAGTTTCCCACTGAGTTGGTACCAGGGTCAGCACTTGGCTAAACCACGTGGGGGACACAGTTCTACCACAAGTGTTTCTTTTTCGGGCACTGGGCTTCCAGTGAGTGGGCTCTCTCATCCAGCAAGGAGGTCCACGGAACATGGTAGAGGAGAGGGTGGCTGCGGAGTCGCTAATCCAGACCTCGGGAGACCAAGCAGGAAGCAGGTCTGATTTTATTGCACAGGAGATGGACATGGATATATCCTCAGCCAGTAGCCAGATTACAGCAGCCACCAGTGCAATGTCTGCTAACTGTCCCTGCAGCGACCAATCCAGGAGTGGGCCGTGGAGCAAGCTCAGGGATGGCCACACAGGGCCTCACGCCCAGGGTGTGCCTACGGGGTAAGCAGCCTGCCGCTCACACTCTCTCTCTCTGTGCCTAGCACCAGGGCAGAGCCTGCCACTCAGGCGCCCTTAACGTATGCCATGGATGAAGTACACCATGTACTCGTCCCCACATTCCAGCGCCTGTGGCTGGGCTTTGCGCTCTGTGCCCTCGCGTGGCCTGTCACAGGCTGGCCCTTGAGCATGGAAGTGGCCGTGATCCCTGGGCGAGGCACACTGGTCCTGGCCTATCTTCTCACCAGGGGCTGAGTTTAGTTTGACAGTATTCTGTCACCAGTTTGTGCTTCTGCACTGGAAGGGCAGTCGGCCTACAGTTTTCTTTCCTTGTGGCGTCCTTTTCTGACTGAGGATTGGGGGAGAGCTGGCCTCACAGCACCATTGGGAAATGTTCCCCAGCTTCTATTTTGGGGGAATCTTGTGAAGTGCTATGTTAACCCTTTAAACATTTTGCAGGGTTCGCTGGGAAAGCCGGCTGGTCCTGGGACGTTTGGGGACCTTTGTTACTCTTCAGTCTCCGCCTGTTGCACGTGGGTCTACTTAGACTTGTCATTTCTTGTCAGTAAGTTTTTTTGCTGTTTATGTCCTTCTAGGGTTTTCGATTTCATGAGATTCTCTGGTGGGCTGGCGTGCGTTCAGAGCATCTCTGTAAAGTTCTTTCCATTTCTGTAAGGTTGTCCCCTCTTTTATTCCGGCTTTAACAATTTGAGCCTTCTCTGGATTTTTCTTGGTCAATCTTTATAAACTTTGTTGACTGGCCAAAGGAACAACTTTTGGTTTTGTTGATTTCCAGAAAAGTCTGTGACTCAGTATTTTTTGGTCTTTTTTAAGTAAGAGAAATATATGCTGTGTTTTAGAAAGAGTTCTGTAAAAAGTAACTAGGGGGCTGGGCCTGGCACCCCATGCCTGTAATCCCAGCCACTTGGTGGGGGTGCAGGGGGGCTGTGGCAGGAGGATCCCAGGTTCAAAGCCAGCCTCATCCATTTAGCAAGGCCCTAAGCAACTTATCATGAGACCCTGTCTCAAAATTTAAAAATGTAAAAAGGCGTGGGAGTGCTGGGGATGTGGCTTCGTGGTAAAGAGCCCCTGGGTTAAATTTCCATTGCCAAACTTACACACATCCTTCCATCCATACATACATACAGGACTGGGAAGGAGCTCGGGGTAGAGGCTGGCCTAGCACTCAAGGTCCTGGGCTCAATCCCCAGCACCGAAAAATCACCACAATGACAATAATGGTAGTAATAATTAGGATGTGTTTCACTGGGCACTTTTCTAAGTAAATATCAGTCCCATGGAAAACCAGCCCAAGGGGACGAGCTGATGGGATTACTGTGCATGGTGGGTTTTCCCCCATATTCCTTCTCTCCTCCCCTCCACTCAGTCGGATAAACATTTAAAAACAAATCCCAGTGAGCCCTGCTCCTCGGGGAACGCCTCCTATAATCCCAGCTGCTGTGGAGGCTGAGACAGGAGGATCTTGAGTTCAAAGCCAGCCTCAGCAACAGGGAGGTGGTAAGCAACTCAGTGAGACCCTGTTCTCTAAATAAAACACAAAATAGGGCTGGGACGTGGCTCAGTGGCTGAGTGCCCCTGAGTTCAATCCAGTACCAGAAAAGAAGACCAAAACGAACCCCATGGAAACACCAAAGGCAGGAGCTCAGCCTCACACACTCCAACCCTGGAGAGAGGGAAGCTGAGAAGCTTGGGCCGCAGGAGCCCAGAGGCGTGCGCAGGGAGGAAGCCCGACAGCGCCATCCTGGCCTCCGGGGTCCGCAGCTCCGGCACTGGAACAGCTCAGCCGACAAGAGGTACCTGAGATCCGAGTGCGCCTGGATCCGCTGGACCTTGATGTCCGAGTCCAGCACGGCCAGCAGCACGGCCAACCGCCTCACCACGGCGTCCTTCTGCTGCTCTGTCAGCTGCCCGACCCCCACCTGCAGGATCAGCTCCACCAGGCCGCCCCTCCTCGGGTCTGGAAGGAGAGACCCCAGGGCTTTCCACCTGGAGGCGGCAGGCATCGCCTGCGGGATTTCCACACCCGGCTTCCAGGACAGTTCTTCCAGACACCACAGAGACYGCGATGGGGAGTACTTTCTCTGTTTTATCCCTGTTTGTTGTCTTTTTTCTTCCCAGCATACCTGAGCCTCTGCGCTAATCTGAGATGTCAGCATCCCCCATGCTTGCCCAGGACCAAAGAGAATCTACCCCCACCTCGTGCCCTGAGCATTGTCCACCCACAGTGGGGGTCAGTGTGGCCACCTTGTGAGCTCTCCCCCACCCGGGCATCCCAGCCCCGCGTCCCTGCATCCACGACACGTTAAGTCTTTGTCTCTTGGCAGGATAACAAAAGTGTCAAGATGATCTCGCTGCCAGCTACAGTTGTCCTTAACAAGTCACGGGGCTGGATGATGGAGTGAGGATCACAAGGGCAGGAAGTGGGCCGAGGGCTGACTCCAGCCACAGGAGGCCCCCCACCACGGCTGCATCTGTGAAGATCCCCAGGCGCTGACCAGCTGGACCGTGCCTGGGCAGCTCCTCAGTCTGTGAACACACCTGGCCGCACCTCCACAGTGGCCGTGTCCATGTCCGACGCCCCCTGGCTGTCGGTGACTCTCAAGCAGAAAGTGTAGACCCCCTCCACCAGATTGGTGAGCTGCAGGGCCACACTGTGGTCAGAGCCATCGATGACATCCTGTGAAGTAACAGGATGCACAGGGCAGCTGTCAACCTCGGGTTTCTGATCCCAAGCCTGAGCACCCTCACCCACGAGATGAGACGGTCAGGCTGAGGAGGGAGCAGGCCGGCTGGGCTGGGAGCGTCCCTCGGCTCTCCTCCCCACACAGCTCCAGGGCACAAAGTCCAAGGCAGGATTTCCAGGGCCCAAGCGCTTTCCAGGAATTAGCAAATGAGTGATTCTGTCCAAGAGAGGGAAAGACCCTAATCAGGGCGAGGACCCAGGGGCAAGGCCTGGGTTTCATGGGTCTTATTTAACGTATCTGCCTTATAACACTCTCATCTTGGGCTCCCTCCCAGAACGACATGTTCTCCTCAGACCAAAACTGCTCTGTGGGCCTCGGTGGTCCGAAGGATTAGAACAGACTCTCCAGATTCCCAGCTCTGAACTTGCTGACGGGAAAGGATGCACAAGAAGGAGGAGAGGAAGACAAGCCCAGGAGACCCACCACAGCTGGGCAGAGGGCATTCCAGAGGGGCTGGGGAAATGTGGAGCGCTCTCCCTCCCTGTGACCACACCTTCCGTACTTCTCCAGAGAAAGTTTGCAGTCCCTGGCAAGGGCAGGAAGGAAGGTCCCCAGCCCTAAGCCCAGGAGTGCCACAGTCTGGCTGGGCACAAATCACAAAGCCACTCAAGCAGGAACAAACTTTATCTCCCAACTCCCGAGAACGCCACCCACACGGCCCTTCCAGGAACACACCACCTCAACCGGAACTCCCTCCTCCGGAACTTCACCAACTAACTTGAACTCCCCAGGAAACCTCGCAAGAACTCCAAAGTAGCGGGCGCCAGAGGTGGACAGCAGGGGTCTATATACAATTGAATCAATCCAGCATCATCTTAATGACTCGCCTCTCAACCATTACTCTGGCAAAATGCTAGACTTCATCCCGACTGGGCTGTGGCCCTCAACACAGGAGGCACAGCGGGCTGTGGGAAAGTGCCCCAGGAGCTGCATCCTGGGTGGTCTTGTAGGCAGAGGGATGAGCTAGCTGACCTGAGCCAAGGCTCTCTGCACCTCTGCGTCACTCTCCTCCCCTGCGGAGGGGATYGGCCATCCCGACTTGTGACATGTCTGATATAACATAAGGAAGAGGGAGAATCTACTTGGACCCAAACAGCAATGACAGGGAAGAGCAAGAAGATTCCCTCTAGAGACTTGGCTTCCAAGTGCTCCAGCTCTGCTCTGCTACCCAGCCAGGGTGTGGTCAGGGAGGGGCGGAAAGGATTTCAGGATCCCACAGCAGCGCTGGCCTCCAGGCCCTGGGGCATTCAAACTTAGACCAAGCCCCTTAGCAGGGAGATGAGGCCATGATATGAACACTGCTGCAGACTGACTGTGTCCCCCAAACCTCACAGGTGGAAGCCCTGACCATCCTGACCATCAGTGTGACGGTGCCCAAAGGCAGGACCCATAAGGAGGTAATCAAGGTGAAAGGAGGTCCTAGGGTGGGCCCCTGATTAGATATGATCAGTGTCCTGCTGAGCAGAGACGCAGGGCTTGTGCCTCCCCTCCTCGCTCCCTGCCATGTGAAGACACAGTGAGAAGGCAGTTGTGGACCAGCCAGCAAGAGGCCTGAGCAGAACCTGAACTGGCCGGCGCCTGGTCTCATCTTCCCACCCTCCAGAGCAGCAGGAAGTGGAGTCCAGTTGGCCAAGCCACCGGGCCCCAGTGTGCTGCTGTAGCAGCCCAAGCAACTGGCACAGACACATCACAAACAGGCACTCGGCTGGCATTCAAGGTACTCGCCCTCGCAGCAGGACTCTGGCCATCCCGCACCCACAGATAGGACACAATGCCTTGGTCGTCGGTAGACCTTGAACCATCCAAAGTAATGGAATTATTGGGAAGGACGAGAACGTGCCTGCCACCAGCCCGGGCTCTGGGAGGACTGTTACTTTCTATGTCAAGTACAGCAAAAAATAAGCAGAGACATCGATTTAAAATGCTGGTGATAGAAAGCAGGTCATAAAATACCCACAACTGTTCCCTCTTGCAGAGATGCAGATTTTTAAATACTTAAAAGACATTATTTTCTGCCGCAAATACCTGCAAGACAATATATAGACTTTCTTACACCTCTGTGCTTAGCTGTTTAAGATGGGGGTGGAAAGGGCAGGTGGCAGCCTGGACACTGGGAACTTTTCTAGTATATGTAATAATGTGTTACTTCTCTTTTTAAAAAGAGACATTGATCTTACAATGTTCAGGGTCCAGAAAGTAAAAACATTTTGATTTAAAACACACTCTAGGGTTATAGGTCAGTGGTAGAGATCTTGCCTACTAGGTGCAAGACACGGCCAAGAAATAAAAATAAAAACAAAGTAAATACACCCTGGGTCATCTTTTACTGATCCACACCGTCTGGCTGCAGAAATGTCTGGACTTTTTAGTATTGTCAAACTGGTAGAAAGTCATCAGCCCTTCCCTCCTCTGATGAGGTCTCAGATAGAAATGAGACAGCAGAGAGCCATTTCTGATTTAATACCCCAGGAAAGAAGGCTGGGGCACCAGCAGGAACAAGTGCCACCAGAGGGGTCATTCCAAGGCACAGGGCTGGTCTGGAGAGGAGGCTGCTGCAGGGCGAACCCCGCTTGTTCAGAGGGCTCCAGAGTCTCCTCCCCACAGGCAGCAGCAGGAAACAGGGTGAGGGGGTGTGAGGATGGCCTTGGGCCTGAGCCTAAGCAACTCCATTTAAAAACTCCACTTTGAAACCTGCGGTCTCACCAGGTGCCTACGGAGCCCTCCAGTGTGGGCACGAGGCACAGCCCTGACATGAACAAGTCACTTCCCCCCACCCTGACAAGCTCAATGCAAAGTCTCTGTCACGTTGTCCTTGCCCCCAATAAGGGGGAGAGGCAGGAGAATCAGGGTGAGGACCTCCAGACCAGATGCCTTAACACCAGGGCAAATGACATCACTGAGAAACCCGGTGGCAGGATTGAAAGGGTGGTCAGAAGCCCCAAATTCAGTCTAAGTGATGGAGCAAATGAGCAGACGTCCAGCCAGCCGACACTGACGCACACAAGCCTGAGAGCCTGCTGAGGACCTGGACTGACCTCCCAGCTCTTCCCCTCCGCCTGATCCTCTGCGTTGTTCTCACCTCTCAAACTCCACAGCAGCCTCCTGACTCTGGTGAGAAAAGGACTTCTCCCCATGACCGCCTCCTCAGCCAGCCGTCGGCTCCACCCCAGGAGAAGCCCGCCTCGGTTCCTGACCTGATCGCTGAGGTCTGAGTGAGTGGGCATCTGCTGGACTTAGGGCCTAGGGCTGAGACTTCTGATCTGACACTTGAACGTGGCATGCAGAGGGAATGCCTGTCATGAGCCTGTCATGATCAAGTGTGTTTGCAGTGCTTAGAATTGGTTAGTCTAGAATTGTTTGCTGTGAATTAATCAATCTAGACTTGTTGCTGTGAATTGATTATGTCTATGCAGTGCCCAGCATTAAGGATTCTCATTTTCTTGATTAAGAACCTATAGAGTGAAACTGTATTGAGTGATTTGAGTGCATAAAGCATTGAAAGGGGCAGAAGTGTGTGGACATTCTTTATTTCCCCCCCCGGACTGCATAAGTTGTACCTTTTGCCCATCGCAACAGGAGACCAAGGATGGAGCCCAATGGGTTGTTAATATCCCTGATCCCCAGGCTGGAGACTGCAGCAGACACAACTGGTCCCATTCCCAGGCTTCCTGCTTCCGTAAGTGAGATGGGACTCGGGGCAGAGTGCTTGCCCAGCACACACAGGTCCTGGCTTGATCCCCAGGACAAAAAAAAAGGATCTCATTTACCACACTCCATGAGGGTGGGACATGGGGAGGGGGGCGAGGTTCACATAAGGAGGCTCAATTCTAGAGGAGGATGGGGCTCAGAGGTAGAGCACTCGCCTAGTATGCACAAGGCCCCAGGGTCAATCCCCAGCACCACACACACACACACACACACACACACACACACACATATATATATATAAAAAAGACACAAAAAACTTAATTCCACAGTGAAAAGGGGGAAAGGTGATGAAGAATAGAGACAAACAGGCATAAACTGAGCCCAAAGTCCTGTAGAAAACAACACCGAGGTCCCACGTAGGTCCATGGCAGGTCCAGCACTTCCCCTTGGTCTGTGCTCTTGAACTCCAGTTATATGCTCCCTGAACCCTGCCCAGACATGTCATTGTCACCAACTCAAAATGTCCAAATCTGCATTTAAAACCCACGGCTGCTCTTCTGTGAATGCGATCTCCCTCATCACCCACCCACATGCCAAAGTCATGCATCTTGGTGCCATCACACTGCCATCCTCCCAGCATCATGCCACCTCTCTTACCCTCGGTGCATGTCTAAGTCCTGAGAACACACGCCCCCAGGGTCTTCCCAACTGTCCCTTTTCTCCCTCTTCTCACCTTCTCGGCCTCCAGTAAGGCTCCTCCTGCCCAGATGACTCCACACCCCCACATCCTCCCGCCTGCTCATCAGTCGTTTCCTTCTCTTTTCTATATATTAAATGATGCTGGAATGGAGCCAAACACCTGGTGCACACGCTCCACCCCTGAGCTACACCCCAGTCATGTCATCTTCCTAGAAATCCACGTCTTGGAGTTGAAATGACATGGTGCTAGGGTTTGCTTTCAAACACTCCAATCAAAATAGACTCAGCTGCGGCGAATTGATCAGAGGAACAAGACCAGCAAAGCAGAGCTAGCCGTGGGAGGTGCCGCGGCACACGAGGGGCCTTAGGGCTATTCTGCTTTTGTGTGTGGTTAGAAATATTTACCATAAGGTGTCTTTAGAAATCCAGCTGTACATCACTCTGCTATGAAACTGCTCCAGCCTCACTACCTGCCAGCTGCTAGGCGTGACAGGTGGCAGTGCACCCAGGCCCCAGCAGCCGTCCCCACAGCCCCACGCCCTGGCCCTTCCCATACCACATGTGCACCTTTCCGTCAGCCATGCTCTCCTTCCTCTGTGCTTAAACACGTCACAATCGTCCATTTTAGTCCTTCCAACTAACCTACATTTGTGACTGCCACGAGTCCAGCACTGCTTTACAGAGAGGATGAAGAAATGGCTGAAGCAAAGGGCTGGAGCCCTCAGGGCCACGGGAGGCAGGCGAGAGAACAGAGCCCAGAGCAGGTAACAGCGAGAGGCTGGGAGCACCTCTGGGCCCAACTCCCACAGAGAACAGAGTGTGGCCACATCTCCAGACCCGGGCTTTGGTCGCCACGGTCTCTGAAGGAGAGTGGGACTGTCACAAGATACACTCAGGAAAAGGAAAGGTGCTTCCTGGCACAGGGCTTGGGGAGAGCTGTGTGGCTCTGAGGCTGGCCCTGCTGGCCCAGAGTGGCCTCTGCTGGGAAGGAGGGAGTGGGCACACACCGACATCTCGACCCGGCGGGGCCTAGGGTCCTGCTGGACACGAAGGCAGGCCGGTGCTCTACTCACCCTTCCTCACTGCCAGAGTCAGGGTGGACGTGCTGCTCAGCCCCTGCTGGTCTGCCACTGTGAGGCAGAAGAGGTGGGTACCCACCTGCAGCCCGGTGACAGTGGCCACAGCCCTGTCCACGTTCTCCATCTCCACTGCACTGGGGCCTCTGTAAACCAAGACAGTGGAGAACACAGGGAGGGCGTGGGGCGCTCAGGCAAGAGTGTGGCCACCCTACAAACACTGCTGCTTCAGCGCAGTGTGCACACCCAGAGGATCCTATGGTGACCCTGTGTCCCTGGTACTCTCCAGGTAAGCCTAATCGTCAACCACCACAGCCGACAATCGGCTGCGCTCCTGGAAGAAGATCCTTGTTCTTGGTTTTTTATTTTAGTTAGCTGCCAGCGAAATGATCTAGCCTTGGAAACAGAATCTTAGAAACTACCCCTTTCTTTTCGTAATAAAATTGGATCAAAACCCTCGTCCACCTTTAGGGAGCGCATGGAGGAGGGTGAACCAGATGGTGGATGTCCTAAGAGAGGAATTACGCGGTACATTAAGAGGGAGGCTTGGTTCTCAGAAGACCTAGGTTGAGCCCAGCTCCTTCTCCTCCTGCCTTGGCAACCTGAGGCCATGTGATCTTACCAGTCCTTGTGCCTCTTAGGTTTTCAGCTTCAAAATGTGAGTAACACTCGTAATCAGCCTCATAAAACGTCGTGTAGATGTCTAGGAGATGGAGCGTGTGAAGCTCAGGAAATGCCGGGTCATATTGCGCTCTGAACTTCTGTGGCCTCCAGTCTGCGCAGGGTGGTGGGGCGCAGACAGGGCTCCCCCAGGCCCCCCTGAGCTTCTTCCATCCATGCTGAGGGCCATTACCAAGTAGGTATTGACGCATCGTAATCCTTGCCAGTGTACCCCATGTTAAATGGACTTGCCTTGGAAATTTGCTGCGACCTTGCTTGTGTGTTTGAGAAAGATGACCCTGCTCAAGGTGATCGAGGGTGGATCCAGGTTTGAGGAAGTATCCTGCAGGTTTGAGGAAGTATC